CCTGCTGACATCTGCAGGTGAGGTGGGCCCAGGTCAGGCCCGGGTCAGTGGGAGTAAAGTGCCACCTAATCCCCCCAGCCTATCCGGGTCCTGCAATCTGCCAGCGCCTCCCTCAGTCGGGGACCATCTGATGATCCTTTCCCCACACCCACCTCAGCCACATGCCGACATCCCTGGGTCCTCACCCTACCCCAAGAGCTGTCAGGGGCCTGGGGCTGCTCTGGAGTCCCCATGACAATGAACATGGCCCTTGGGTGACACAGACCTGAGTTCGAGTTCTGGGGCTGCCCCTTCCTTGCTGTGTGACCTTGAGGAAATTGCTTCACCTTTCTAGTCCTTCAGTGCCTTCTTTAGAAGACAGCACCTACCTGCAACAATAATGGTAAGGGCTCAATAGCACGATGTAGGTAAAGCTTATACTAAGCATTAAATACATGTTGGGGGCTTCCCTGGTGGCGCAGTGGTTGAGAGTCCACCTGCCGACGCAGGGGACATGGGTTCGTGCCCCGGTCCGGGAGGATCCCACATGCCGCGGAGCGGCTGGGCCCGTGAGCCATGGCCGCTGAGCCTGCGCGTCCGGAGCCTGTGCTCCGCAACGGGAGAGGCCACAGCAGTGAGAGGCCCGTGTACCACACACACACACAAAAAAACATGTTGGGAAGCTCAAGAACACAGACTCTGGGTTCAAATCCTGCCTCTGCCGCTTTCTATTTACTTAACGTCTCTGTGACTCAGGTTCCCTAACTGTACCGTGGAGATAACAACAGATGCTCTCTCATAGGGTTGTTGTGAGGATTAAATGCGGTCCCGGCCCAGGGTACCGCCCTGTAAAGGTGTGTTAGCATTGCTGGGCACTTGGTATATTCCAGACACAGTGCTCAGCACTCATCTAATCCTCTGTGGCTCAGAGAGGGCCAGCCACTAGGTCAAGGTGACCCCAGGTGGCAGGAGAGCTCCAGACCATGTTCTGCCACCACCCGTGGAGAAATTAACTGTAACCTGATGCCTCTACCCTGGAGAAGTTGAAGGTGGACTTTCATTAACCCCCCCACATGACCCTCACTTCTGGGGGCCCCTCAGACCTGCCCCCTGCTGCCAGCCTCCCCTCAGGCTCTCTCTGTGCTCTTTCCTCCCTGCCCCCACCCCCTGCCCGCTGCACCCAGCTAGGGCCTCCGCCCTCCTCCAGCTTGGACTGGCCAGGGGCAGCCTCAGTGCCCAGCTGTTCAACCCGCACCCTCTGTCCTTCTCTGTAGGACGACCCCACCCTTCCCTTGTTAAGCCCCTTGTCCACCACATCCGCGTTCCCCCGTCCTTGCCAGGGCCCTTGGCCCAGTTCCTGACCTTGGCAGGTAGAGTGTGGGCATTTGGTGTGGCTGTGCAAATCTTGCCCCATTGTGGGTGTCTGTGTGCCTGGCTGTGACCCTGAGGGGACATATCCACATTGCCCAGTGTAGGGGGTCATGGTCCTATGATCTTGACGCATCCCTGTGCATGTCCTTGTGCATGGTGCAGTGTGGGCAAGGGGAGTGTGTGTGTGCAGAGTCCTTTGTGTCTACATCCTGCCCACATGTCTGAACCAGGTCCCCAACTGTGAAACTCAATTAGTGACCCTGAACACCAAGTGAGTGACTTGGGGGCTGATCTAGAGATGGATAAATATGTCCTGACCTGGCTGCCTGTGTCTTGAGCAATGTGTCTTTGACCTTGAATGCCACCTTTGTGTCCCATGTTTCCCTGGGTCTGATCTAGTGGGTCCACATCTGAGCTCTGGCCCTCTGGGTCGGTTTTATAACTTTGAATACCCACAAAGTGACTTGGGAATGAATAACAGTTTTGACCTTGACGATCTTTACCTGGGTCTGCACATATGTCTGGCTTACTTTGGCTAAATTTGTGTCCACAACCTGAACATCCACACATATGTCTACATAAATAAATCTATATGTCCTTTGTTTAAAATAACTAATATTTTTAAAGCAGTTACAATATGCGAGGCATCATACACACACTCTCTCACTCTCTCTCTCTCTCTCTCTCTCTCTCTCTCTTGCTCTCTTTCCCATTTAATTCTTACAACAATCCCATTATACAGATGAGGAAATAGAGGCACAGAAAAGTCCGTTTGCTCAAAGTCACACAGATAATATGTTTGGATCCAGGATTTTTTACTCTATCACTTAGATTTAACCACTATACTATAGACCCATGTTGGTGACAAGTCTTTTGGGACCTGAGTGTGTATCGCTGTCTCTCCCTGTGTACCCTTATTAAGGACCTCACCCTGTTGTTCAGACCCCGTGTGCAAGTGTGCAAATCTGTGGTCTAGTATGTGTAAATCCACGCTGGAGACTGTAAATTTCGGTCTGAGCTTCTATGTCCAAACCTGTGCCTGTGAATGTGTGTGTGTGCACACATATATACACACATGCTCATGCCTTAACTATCCTATTCACATACACATATGAAGTTCTGTGCTGTGATTCTTGAAGCTGCAACCCACGTACGTGCAAATGAATTTCAGCTGAAAGTGCTGTCCATATCAGTTCCTAAGTTTGGAAGACTGGTTGTGCCTGTACGTTTGCCCATGACCTTGTGTGGCTACATCTGTGTCCTTGTAAGATACTGCATTTGGCTGAGATGTCCAGACTCTGGGGCCAAGAATGTGTGTCCCACAGATTGAGGTGTCTGTGACAGCTCGGTGAACTTGAATGGCTGGTTCCAAGTGACCATCTGTCTGAACCTGTATCCATTGTCCTTGTCTCTACTCCCAATCCCAGAGGACTGCCTGCCCTCTGGTCCTCTCCCTGTCCTCTCTCTCCCGGAGTCCTATGGCAAACGAGTGGGGGCCGAGGGCAGAGGGACAGTTCTGGGGAAAACAAGCAGCAGTTATAAAAGCTAGAGAGAAGGTGGTGCTTAAAAATCAACAGCAGGGGGCTTCCCTGGTGGCGCAATGGTTGAGAGTCCGCCTGCCAATGCGGGGGACACGGGTTCATGCCCCGGTCCGGGAGGATCCCACATGCCGCGGAGCGGCTGGGCCCGTGAGCCATGGCCGCTGAGCCTGCGCGTCCGGAGGCTGTGCTCCGCAACGGGAGAGGCCACAGCAGTGAGAGGCCCGCATAATGCAAAAAAAACCAAAAAAACAAAAAAACAGCAGGGACATCTTAAGAAGTTGGGGAAAGGCAACAGGTGGAAAATGTGTAGTGAGGTCAGGGTACAAGGAAGGTGTAGGGTGCAAGGGAGAGGACTCTGTCCTCGGGGATCTTCCTCTGTCTCCTCTCTCAGTGGCCCAGGATGACAGTGACAAGGTGCTGAGGGGTGATGAGTGTGCGCCCCACTCCCAGCCATGGCAGGTGGCCCTCTTCGAGCATGGACGCTTTAACTGCGGTGGTTCCCTCATCTCCCCGCACTGGGTGCTCTCTGCAGCCCATTGCCAAACGCGCTAGGAAGGCTTAGGGTCCTGAGGGGGCATGGAGGGAGGGTCTAGGGACCTGACAATCATGGATTCTGAGGAAAAGAGCTGGAGCCTGGGGATTGAGCTCCAGGTGTGTGCATGACTTTGGCACCTTGGTCTCTGAGAGGCAGAGGCGGAAACTATTGGCTTCGCGGCCTTGCGGAAAGGCTGATGGGATCTCCAGATTCCCAGAGGGTCAGGGGACCCAAAGTTGCCCACTCTTTGATCTTTCTGTCCACTCCTCACTCCACTTGCGGCTAACCACTCACCCGCACAGCTCCATGAGAGCGCGCTTAGGCGAGCACAACCTGCGCCAGCGCGATGGCCCAGAGCAACTGCGGGCTGTTTCTCTCTGTCCCTCGTGCGCAGAGCCACCGTCACGATATCCGGTTACTGCGTCTAACCCGGCCCGCACGTGTCTCTACCAAAGTGCCCCGGGTCCCGCTGCCCACGCGCTGCCCCCAGCCCAGCGAGGCCTGTGTGGTGTGTGGCTGGGGCTTGGTGTCTGACAACAAGCCTGGGGCCACAGGGAACCCAGTGTCACAAGGTGCGTGGAAACATGGAACTGGATGTCAGGCCTCGAGGACCGTATTGTCCAGGGCTCTTGGGCGGAGGGAACAAGGGCCTGAAATTTTATGGACTCGCTCCGACTCTACTGTCCTCCCCAGTGAGACTCCCAGATATGTTGCATTGTGCCAGCATCAGCATTACCTGGGCCACGTCTCGTAACAAGGACCGTGCAGGGCGCCTGGTGAACACCACGGTGCGTGCGGGCGTGGACAGACTCCCGTGAGGTCAGAGCTGCCAGGGAGCCATGGAAGGAGGGGGAAGAGAGGGCAACAGGTCTGGGAGTTGGAATAGGGCAGGGTTTTGCTTGCTTTGAGCCACAGAAGATGCTAAGGAGCGTTTTCGGGGATGGAGGAGGAAGGGCAGTTAGAATGGGGGTGAGGTTGGAGTTGGGGTTAGAGAGGCAATGGGCTCGGGTTGTGTTTGGGGAGGACAATGCAGTTTGGGACGGCATGGGCTGGCGTTGAGAGTGGATATGAGTTTGGTTTGATCTCAGATGGGAAACATGTCAGGGTTGAACTGGGGATGGGGGTAAATTTTGTTTGGGAGGCAAGAGACATGACGATCGGGGCTGGGTTGTGCTGGAATGAGGATGGTCGTGGGTTAGGTTAGATTCGGAATGGGAAAGATGTGGGGGTCAGGTTGGGTTGTGGGTGTGGGGAGGTGGGATTGGACGTGGGTTGTATTGAGCTGTGTTGGGTTGAGGTGGGGTTGGATTGATTTGGATTAAACTGGGTTGTATTGAGTTGAGTTGGGGTGGGTTGGCCTGGGGTGGCGTTGGATTGGGTTTTGATTGAGATTCTGAATGGTGTGTAGAATGGGGATGGGGGCACTGGATCCAGAAGGTTCCCACTCAATCTTCCCCTTCTCCCTACAGGGTGACTTCAGGGGACCCCTGGTCTGTGGGGATGTCCTGCAGGGCATTGTGTCCTGGGGTGATGTCCCCTGCGATACAACCACCAAGCCCAGTGTCTGTACCAAGGTCTGCAGCTACTTGGAGTGTATCAAGGGAACCACAAAGAGGAACTGACTATTCTGGCCTTCCACCTGTGTCCCTGACTACACAGAAGCCCCCATCGCTGGCCAGCAGCCCCATCTTGACCTGGAACAGAACTGGGCCATCCCCCAAGACCCCATCCAAGACCCAGAGGTTAGCCAAGGACTTGCCCAGAAAACACTGATGCAAGTTTCTCTGTGGAAGTTTCTGCAACTTACTTCTGGGGATGAAGGGAAATGGGGACCACAGACTGGGTGGGGAACTCACGGCCACTATATACTGTTCCTTTTCACCCACTGCCCTGACGTTCATTCAGCATCTAGAACCAGCTATTTCATCTTGAGCAAAAGACCCAACCTCAGTCAGCCTGAGTTTCCCCCATCTCATATTGCTTTTCTCAGAGGGTTGCTGTGAGGATTAAATGAGGTAATTCCTATGAACTGATTTGAATAGTGCCTGGCACTGAGAAAATACTGTGTTTCTGGACCCCAGTGAAAGAACGCAGCACGCACTAGATGCTCAAGAATGACTTCATTTTCTTCAAGATCTAAGCTTCCTGGTAGCCATGGCAAAAAGGCAAAAACTCTCCTTTCCTTAGGCAGGTTCCTGACTTACAGCAGAAGTTGGGCCCCCATGAGCTCCTTTGATTTTACTGAAGAGCCAGGAGAATGGGTTGGAAAGCTTAGAAATGGATTGGGTTTATCATTGAGGCTGCAGGAATCTAGTTCCTGACCCCAAAAATGTGATTTTTCAAGGTCACTGAACGTCAAGGCACAGGAACCTGGCTCCTGAGACCTAAATAATTTATGGAGGGGAGGGTGGATTGGAATTTGCAGAGACGATCTCTTGACCCTGCAAGGCAGGCGTCCAGGACCTTTGGGACTTTGGAGGACATGACCTTGAGCATCCAGATTTGGGGAACAAGGAGGAGGTGGGCCCAACATTGTTTGGGGGGGGCCTTAGATTTTGAAATGCTAGGAAAGTTACACTGGGAACCGTTGAAACTTCATATTCCTGCATCTGGGGATGCTAGGATTGGGTGAGGGGTGCCTAAGATTTTATTATGAAAGGAAGAGTAGATTTAGGGGCTTGGATCCCAAATCTAGGAGTGCAAGAGTCAGGGCATTCTGAAAGCAAAGGCTTACATTTCAGGGGGTTCTGGAAGCTGAGAAGCTGGTATCTTTGGCTAGAAGTGGTGCAGGGAGAAAGGAATCAGAGCCCCACTGCTGGTATTTGAGGGTATATTGGGTCTTGGGGGTACATAGCCTTACTTGGGGTTAAGGTATATGGGGTTTTGTGTTGGAGGTCACTGGTTCTTCCACCTTTGCCGTTTCTGCTCCCACCTGCCCCACCTCCACCTCCCCTCACTGGCTCTGTCCCCAAGAGCAAGGTCTCGGGAACTCCAGGCCCTGCCCTGTCTGGCTTCAGGCCCCAGGAAGGCTTCCAGTGCGACTGAGGGCCTGCAGAGCAACAGCTGTTCGCTCTCCCGCCCCTTCCACAAGCTCTGGGTGTGGGAGAGGGTTGTCCGGCCCCCAGGAAGCAGGGGCAGGGCCTTGGCCAGCATCTGGGTGCCAACAGGGCAGGGGTGGGGCCCTGGGGGAATGAGGGCTTTAAAAGGCTCCTCGGGGAGGCTCCCCAGCTCCAAGCTCACCGCCTGCCTGCCCCTGGACACCTCTGTCATCATGTGCTTCCCGGTTCTGTGCCTTGCCCTGTCCCTGGCAGGGACTGGTGAGACAGTGGGGAAGATGTGGGAGGGCGGTTGGGTCCCGATTCTCATGCTGCCCCCCGGCCCCGCTCCATTACTCCTTGCCCTCCCACATGGCACTGCAACCTGCACCCCTGCGGCCCAGTCTAGCCCAGACCAGGACACCAGGCTCTCTCTTATCTCTCCCAGCCCCACCCTAAAATCCAACCTGACCCCTCCTCAGTGTCACCTTGCTTGCACTAGGTCCCTGCTCCCTCGGGAATAATCAGACTTTTCTCCTCTTCCCCGCTCAGATCCCTGCCCCCATCCACTTTACTAAAGGGGCAGATCCTGGGCCATCTCTGTCTCTCTCTTCCAAGGAGCCCCCCCAAACCCATCAGATTCTGGGACCCTAATCACCCCCTCCTATCCCTAGTTCTCTATGGCCCAGTGGTCCAGCTCTGGAGGCCCCAAATCCTACCACACCCTGGTGATTTTCCCCATCCAGCTGTCAGCTCTCAACTAGCTCCTTCAGTCCTGACATCTGGTCCCCTGCCATCCCCCCAGGACCCCAAATTTCACTAGACACCTATGCTGCTTTAAAAACGGACTTTCTGGTCTGTGACTAGGTAGGCCTCCCATCTGGTACCAGGGGTGGGTTCTGCAAATGTCACTTCCTCACCTCTTTGCTCCAGAACCCGCAGCCCACAGCCCCAGCCTTTTCCCCCCAGGAAAAATATCCAGAACCCACAACCACATGCTCCTTTCCTTGGAGAATTTCCATCCTTCCCCAAGCTCCAGCCCTTTACCAACCAGAATCCCTCCTGTGGAGCTCTGGCTTTCTGGGAACCCGCCCACCAGGATCCCAACACGTACCTTCCCAGCCCAGCTGTCCTGCCCTAGGTACCCCAACATCTGATTCTAAAACCCCACATCAAGTGAGTTCTCTCTGTGTTCCCACAGCTGTTTGGCCCCTGATATGCCTCCTCGTCCATTCCTGTCCTGGCACTGCTCCCAAGAAAACCCCAGATCCCTCCAGTAGCCTCAGACCATGAACCCCAACCCCATGAGAATCACCTGATCCCAGAATGACTGTTATTCCACTCTCCCTTCTCCTGAGCTCCCTCCCAGTCTGACCCCAACCTGGTCCCGGGGCCCTCACTCTTGTTAGAATGCCATTCCTAGATCACAGGACCCCTTTCCCAGACTAATCCTTTCATTCATTCTTTGATCTGGAACCCCAAATCTCCCAGCCCCAATCCAGGAACCCCCAAATTCCCCAGATGCTCTTCTTGGCCCCCTCTAACCTAATTGCCCAGATCTGCATTCTTTCCAGACGCCCAAAAGCTCAACCCAAGCCCTAACCATTTCATCAGCCTGAGAGCCCCTTAATCCTCCAAATCCTTCCTCCTGCAGCCTCTGACCTCGTCTCTTGGTGCCTCTATCCTTGGTTTCCCCTCTCAGAACCCAGAGCCTCCTGTCCCGCAGTCCAAGAACCCAAATCACCCAACCTCCTCACCAGATGCCTGCTCCAGATGCTGTCTTGCTGTTCCCTACCCTAATCCCGGGGGTCAGCTCTGCTCTCAGCATAGTCTCCACACCCAGGACCAGCCACCAGCCCACAATCCCAGGGATGGCTCCAGAATTCCAGGCCCTTCCCAACACCCCTGGCCCATGTTCAGACCCCCAGCTCTGGTCCTCTACCCCCATGAACCTCCAATCACACAGCTCAGCTCCCTCAACTAGCCCAGTCTCTTAGCCCCACTGCTAACTCCACCCGACCTGACCCAGCACCCCCATCCACAGGTGCTGTGCCCCTTATCCAGTCCCGGATCGTAGGAGGCCATGAGTGTAAGAAGCATTCCCAGCCCTGGCAGGTGGCTCTGTACCATTTCAGCAGCTTCCAGTGTGGAGGTGTCCTGGTGGACCCCCAGTGGGTGCTCACAGCTGCTCACTGCATGAGCGAGTGAGTAGGGCCAGGGGATCTGGAGAGGGGGGCACACACAGGATTAAGCAGCCAGCACTGTCCCCTCGGATAACCTCAGGGGAGGCTGGGGGACCTGAGACAGAGAGGGGAGGTTGTGGTCCAGGGTCACAAGGAGAGGGGCAGGGCTGGGACTGGGTGACCCCAGGGAAGCCCTCTCCATGGTTGCCTGGGTCTCTTGGGTCTGTCCTGTTGTCTCTCTTTCTATGTCTGCCTCTGTCCTATCTCTGTGTGTGTCTCAGTAACTGGCTCTGCTGTGGGTCTCTCTGTGTGACTATGATTGGTGTCTCTCTCCCTCTCTCTTCTGTCTCCATTTCTCTGTGTCTCTCCCTGTCTCTGTCCATCTCAAGTCTCTGCTGCCATCTCGGTCACCTATGTCTCATCCTCCATCTCTCTGCCCTGTCTCTGTGTCTCTCTCTGGGTCTCTGCCTCACTCCCTCTCCCATCACTACTGAGCACACCTCCACCCCAGAGAAATGGAAGAGATTATCCATCCCTGGGCAGCCCCGCCCTCCAGGCCAATCATCCACTCCAGGGGGACACAGAGAAGGTCTAGCGTCAGCTGGAACTGGGTGGGGGCAGTGGAGGGAAGGAGGAAGGGGAAGAGGAGAGAGGGAGCTGGGGCAGAAAGGGGACGCCGACCTTGGGCTGGGGGCCAGGCCACCCGCCTGCTAGGGAATCAGCCCCGCAGCCCCAGCTGTGGCTGAGCTGGTCGCCCCGCCCCTCC